CGAGTAAAATATTTCCTCAAAAAAAAATTACTTACGTCTCACATTCTTAGTTCTAGGGCTTCATTTACGAGTGTCACACATGCATGGGTTACACAAACATAGATGGGGCCAGAAAAGCTTACTTCTTTTTGTATTGTCAAGACAGTTTGATTTGTTTCTTCTCCAAGGAACCTGGGAGAGTCCGTAAGAAGGAAAAGTGCTGGAAAATAAGAATATAACCTTACGTACAGAATAAAAAAAAAAAGCAAACAATAATGCTGGCCCTTCAGTCAGAATTACTCCTCCTTGAGTTTGCAAGATGCTGGATGAATGCTGCAATACAATTTTGTCACATTACTGCAGGATTCTCTGATTTGGAGTAGGTGTAAGGCATCCATCATGACTACTGTGCCCACTGAAAGAAAACACCACAGGACCGCCCTCCAGGGTGTCCAGGAAAATTCCAGAAAACCCATGGACCTTGCTGGAATCCACAGTACCTCCCTACAGTTCTAGGTACTTCAGGTGGAAGGTGTTCAGGTAGTGATGGCTGAAGATGAGTAGATCCAGATAAGCTGATGTGTTTGGCTTGAACATGGCTGGATCTCTGGTAGCCACTTCTTCATTGTTTTTTTTTTGTTGGTTTGGTTTGGGTTGGGTTTTAGTTCAGGCTTACTACTAGAACAACGGAGTTGCAGACATGGATTTAGGGCGGGGGGGTTATTTATTTAACCGGACACAGGAATTGTCACTTTCCTTTCTAAATCGCCAGCTACTCACCGCTGTTGGACAGCTTCTTAGTTCATTCCAGAAGTCTGTGTATTGCTATTACTACGTAAAAATGAGTAAATCTCAAAACTCTGCAAAAGGAAAGATGGTAATTTAAACAAAGTAGTATGAGAGTGTACCACTGTAACAGTTTCCACAGTGTGCCAGTGGCCAATTGCTACAAAAAATATATAACTTAGTTTGTGATTGCCTGCTGTTGCAGAGGGACAATCCCAAAGGTATCAGGATCCAATGACAGAGCCCTTAGCTTCGCCACAAGAAATAAAAATTATCTCAATTATCCAGGAAGGCAGAACTAGTAATTTTAACTGTAATGAAGCACAAGAATCCTAGTACCAGATCAAGGCCCCCTGAACTCACCTTTTGCAAGCATGTAAAGAGATACATTCCCCCAGAGAAGTTCCAGTGTATGTACTGGCGCAGAGACCAAACAAGAGATGCCACAGTGGAGGAGCTGAAGGAGGTGGTGGGCAAGACGGCCGAGGCACCGTGGCTTCAGGCAGCCTGCAGCCCCATCTGCTCCACGTGGCTTAAAGGCCCGCAGGGGTTAATACGGTTAACTTCTAGCTCCTCCACGGAGACAAAACTACGGAAGTGAATGTCTGCTTGTGGATATTTTAAACAAAAAAGAAAACATATGGCCCTCTGGAACTATGCTTGCTGTTTCTCTAGCTGATATGACACAGAGAACAGATAGCCTAGGCCTAGAACGAAATGCAGCAGCTTTATTCCAAGGAGCAATTAGAGAACAATTTAGGGAACACGCTTCGATTTCAGAAGTTCTGATTAGCAGAACGGAAACTCAAAGAAGTTGAGAATGCTCATGTACACCAAGTAGTAAAAAAATTTTAAAAAGCACAAAATATCTTCGCTGTATAAACCAGCAATCTCTTCCCCATGCAAGGAATATTTTTTGCAAACTATGAATGCCAATTTAGAATGATTAAAACCAGCCTTTTCTCTCCCAGATGTTATTTTGTGATTCTACACATAGACTAGTAATGAGCAAAAATTAAAAGAGAAGAATGGGCTTAATTCAGAAGGCTGAAAAGAGAGATCAGTAATTTCATTTATAAAATCAAAAATTTCATTAAAACTGTAATCATGTGGATTAAAACCACAGGTGTGATAAATAAATAGTCCGGGGCAGTCATGATGCGCATCTTCAAATTCAAGTCTTGAAACACGCTGGTAAATGTTCCACACTACAAATTCGCCAGGCAGTCCGGGCCCAAATGCAGAGCCAGTGTGTGCAGACACAACCCCACCCGCTGCAGAAACCCAGCAGGAGCGCCCATGGCTCATCGGGGGCTGGAGCTGTGCGCTCCCCAGGGACAGCAAGGCCAGGAGGGATCTCAAGAAGTTACCGAGTCCAACCTCTGCCAGAGGATGAACTGTGCCTTAAACATCGCCAATGTTTAAAGTCGTCTTTGTTTAACTTTTACTTTAAAACTTGTGTAAATGATTTTACAATGTTCTCAGGAAACGTATTGCAAGGCTTTGAAAAGTTACAGGATTATTTTCTCCTAATGCCTAATCTAAAGGTAGGCAATTACTTCTTGTCCTATGAACAGCAGATTTGGAGAACAAGGCTTTGGGGTTTTTTTTACTGTCTTCTCTGCAATGGCTTTTTACAAATGCGAATACTCCTTTAGTCATTGCTCCTGCAGACTAAACAAACCAAATTCTTTCAATTTTTACACACAAAATGATGTTGTCTAGCAGTCTCATCTTTCTTGTCTCTCTCCACTGGACTCTTTCCAATTAGCCCACAACCTCCTTGAAGTGTGGTGCCTGAAATTGGATATAGTATTCCAGCTCAGACCTCATTAGACCTTATTAGGCCTAATTAGAGTAAGAGGTTATTTCATGTGAATTTAATGGGGAATGCTTATTTATCCAGTCTAGTATCAAATTTGCTTTTTTCACAAAAACATGACATTATTGACCCATGATTAGCTTGCCACTCACTGGAATCTGCACGTCCATTTCCACACAATTACAACTAGCCAGGTCTCTTCCATCTTCTATCTGTTACTTCAATTCAATACTTTCTATTTGCCCTTAATGAAGCGAATCCTACTTATGTTACCTAATTTCAGCAACTAATTTAAATAACTTCTTGTTCTAATCTATTCCTCTGATACACTTTCAGCCTTTATCAGCAATAATTGCTTGTAAATTAAAAATCTATTGCATAATCCAATCTATTTCATAAAGTGTATCAGTTAGCATAAAATTGATCTAAGTAAAGGCCTCGTTATTACATCCTCCTGGGTAACAATGAATTGCTAACAGCAACCCTAAGTACAAATCACTCTTGTAGATCCATTTAAACTATGCTTCCTGCAACTGGCTATGAAAATGTCAAAAGCAGTCTTTACCAAAAGCCCCTTACCAAAATCAAGATGTGTCACCTTTGTAGCTTCTCTGTTCACAAGTCAATTATTCTGTCACAGAAGAAATTACTTGATAGGATTTCTCTCATATGGTATTTCCCCTTTTCTCTGAAATTGTGTATGAAAAAAAGAGAACTCTGGAATTGAAAAAGAGGTATAGGAACTATTTTCCCTCAGAACGAACATTAGAAACAACTAAAATGCATATTTCAATTTGTGAAGACCTTCAGGATAATTAAAACCATGAAGGCAACAGCAAGAACTCAGAACCAGTTCTGAACTTTCAGATTTTGTTCAGGGACATCTCAAAGTGATACCTGCATGTCTGAAAACATATTTTTAAAGAAAATGTTTGAAAAAAAATGGACAGCCCTACTTTATGAAAAGAAATCTCTGTACTTTATGAGGAGTCACAGAGTCATGCTAAATTCAAATGTAACTCTACATGCTTGTCTTCTTCCAGTCTACTGCATCTATTGCCTTCTGTTGTTAGTAGTTAAAGCTCACTCTTGCTATGAGATGCTTCAGCCATATGTATACATACCGCTTCACATCTGCCCAATTTTTTGATTTTTGTTGTGGTGACTGTAGTTCCTACTTGCAAATTTAACCGTCCCCCATCTATCCAAAATTAAAGCCCCAATCACTAGTTCAATACATTGGTGCCATATAAGTCCTCCTTGTCTTAGCCACAAACTGGTCCATGTCATTTTGCACATCAAATAGGTCAAGTTGTCCTTATCCAATTGTATTTCCTTTAACAGAAATGCTTACTTCTTCCAGATACACCCCTCACACATACACTAAGACCCTGAATTAAAAGCCAATGAAAACTGGCCTTTATTTTTTTTATAGACTTTGGTGAATTCTGGATCAGTCCACTGGTGAACAAAATTCTTTCCCTGCCTGTTACATTTTATTGAAAACACTGCTGTCCTACACACTCAAGACAGAAGTAGTAGGTCTTTAATTAGTCTATTTTTATGTACAGGTTATTTTATATAGATGATCTAAAAGGTTAGTGATGGTTGCATGCTGGGCTAGGTTCTCCAAAGACACACTAATGCCACCATGCTAGGCAACTGTTCAAAGAGAAAGCACCAGGATTCACAAACTTGATGGAGGTCCTGTAACAAATCTATTAAACATCACATCTGTAATAGATTAATCTAAACCACTTAATTTCATTGGTCTGATTTTTAATATTGTAGTTGATGTTACAAATGAAATATAACTTTAATATTTAATTTATAAAGTTTTCACATTTCCATGTAAAACCAACAGTAGGTCTAAAGTAAAAACAGCTTTGTGGAGGCAAAAACTTTTTCTTTAACTTCAACAAGATTGTAATTTTATAAGAGTAGACAAATATGTAAGCATAAACATTCATGATTTTCTTTTGTACACATCTGTGTAAATAAGTTGATACAAATATAATTTACTATAGAAACATTTTGTTTGTTTGTTTTTGCTACACACAGTTCTATGCTGGCATCACATACTAGTCGATTAATCTTTCAAAGAGTGAGATTTATGCACGTTTCATAAATTGTAACCCCCAGTATGTCCATTGCCAGCAGCGGACTTCATGTTCAGAGAATCAGACTCACAGTGTCAGTAATCTAAAATTAACCTTCAGTACAAGATTATAAATAATCAAAATAGAATGCATCATTTTCACATCATAATCACCAGATGTTTAAAGGCCATGATCCAAGCCAGCTAAAATCAATGACAGTTTTCCCATTGACTTAGCTGGAATTCACCCACAGTTCCCAGTCACTATAGATTCTCACTTTTATCACAGCGTGAAGAGTTAAAAAGTGCGTAGTATCACAGCTTCAGTGTGAGAAGTAAAGCCTCTAAGTCTTTCTGGGCCTCTTTATCCTGAAAGAAACAGACAATCATGCATCAACTTAGATAGGATAAATCCCTTCATTTGCCTAATACGTGCCTATCCACATTTCTTTACTAACAACAGACATAACACACAACTGTAACAGCCACAGAACGTACAAGACTGCATAGTAAGTTAATTTATCAGTGATTGCAAAAATAAAGTTTGAAGTGAAAACAAGAGCCAGATGGCAGCCCTCCCTTTACAGCTCTGTTAAAGCACTTAAAATGTTAGCCACAAATAGCCTTCTCAGCATACCAGTAAGCCTTTCAGCTTAGGCCGTAACTTTTGTTGGTGTACTTTGCATGAAGTGCTGCCTTGCCTTATACTTTACGTAGGCTTGCACCCTGACTGTGTGCAGTTTTTCTAAAGATATTTCTGTGATGTTTGCTAACGATTTATTATGCAATTGACAAGAAAACATTGGGAAATGTGATTAATGACATAGGTTAGATCGTGGTCTCAGTGCATATAGCCGTACCTACCTGTAATAACCACCATGGACTGACTACACCCTCAGTATCTTCCATACTGGTGTTGGTGGGCTCTGCCTATGCTACTGGGCTCATAGCAGAGTGGAGCCAATGGGAGAGCAAGAGGCAAGTAATCTGCTATGCTCAGAGCCAACACTGTATTATACCTCCTAGGACAGAACGGAAAGGCTCCTTTTAGGCTGACGTACATGTAAGTGCACAGCTTGCACAGGGCTTTAAACCAAACCCAGCCCACAGACTATTTCACAGGTAACCAGTGACATACGTTTTGGCTATTCCATGTATAATGTGTTTGGAATGGGGTACATGCATATGAACATGTAACCACAATACAAAAAACTCCATTATTCTACTTATTTTTGAAATGTCTTCTGGATATATTCCACTTGCTTTACTTGCCATTGCAAAACTTCTAGCTTGCAAAACGCACGCTGGTTTAAAGCCACATTTCTAAAAAGTCAGCACCTCATGCCTGCAGTCTGGTAAGGGTCCAAACACCCAATACATGCACCCATGTGTGCTTAGCAGTGCAAGCCAAAAGCACTTGCACATCACAAATTTTGTGCAAGTATTTCTAATGACAGAGACCAGCGTTTCTTTTCCAGATAATGCCACAGGCAATTCTGCAAGAAAATACTGCAGACAGACAGTGAAGTAATCACTGAATTTCAGGATCACTTCATTATCCAATCAACCAAAGAGCTGGAACAAAATACAGGACATTTTAAAATACATTTTACGGGTGAAGAAATTCCTGCTTCTCTTTATTTTGGTTAGTTGTCTATAATGTCATGGAGGAACAGAGAAGAATATTGAGATGATAGAAACCATATGCCAGACCTGTCAAACTACATTATATTATTGGTCTGGATTAAGGCATTAATACATTAGCTGGACACTTCTCTTGGAGTCACTGCCTTGCTCCCACTGGCAACAATAGGCTAAACTATCTGCCTAATCATTTATCAGAGGCCTTAAAAGGCACACACTGCAAAGCCAGTAAGCTCTTGCCAAAATACTCTTAACACAAGGAAATGTCACACTGAATTCAGCACCCCTTAAACTCCACGTCACTACAGGCTGCCTGGAGCACCAGCCCGTGACTTTCACTAAAAATTGGAAGACTCAAGATTTGCATCAATATGTTGATTAATTCAGGGAAAATACACTCTTTTCTGTACTGACTGTGGTCAACTTGTGAAGATGATTCTAAACTCCATTAAACAAAAAAGCAAAAAGCCAGATATTGTCCCGTGCTACTAAGAAAATGAAAAAGGTTTCATTGTATCTTTTCCTACCTTTTTCACACTTTTCTAAGCCAAAAATTATAAAGATGCAGGTTTTCTCATATCTGAATGGTGTTCAGCATTTCATGGGTTGATGGGATTTTTTTACTCACTTTGCACGACACAGCATTTTAAAAATGTATCTCCACGCAACTTTGTATACTAGTCTTTCTCCTTAGAAGCAAAGGCTTACATTGGGCAATGAGCTTTTAACGAGTTGCAAAGGTCCCAAAAATATTGGCAGTCTTTCCTGAATCTTCCTCTGGGCTTAGGAAAAATAATGAAACAAATCCATGATTGTTCTCAGTACTAGCTGGAGAAGAAACTGCAAACATGCAAAGCATCCTACTTCTGGGTTGCCAGATCTAAACAAGACTACATCAGTAAAAGCAGGAATTATTATTGTTGCAAACTGCTTAATGGGCTGCGTTAATTGGGCCAGCGGCTTCCAGTCAATCATAAGAACTCAGATGGCAAAAGCATTTTAAAAAATCAGTAATGGCATTAAAAACAAAGCTGAGAATGCTCAGTGAAGGGAACTGTTATGTCACCTTCAGGTAGAGTCCTTCCAGACCAAGAGGTGTGTCACGCTAAAAGAATAGCGAAGCCACAACGCCGTTCAGTGCACCAGTCTCCAGTTTTAAGGATGAAAACTTCATTAATGCCAAAAGCTTGACCGTTAATGGGAAGACAAAGCCATAAATCCTGTATTTGGCCAATGCTCTTCCTCACTGATTTCTGGATCTGTGGCTTTCTAAAAATGAACAATCAGGTCAGCTTTTTTTTTTTTTTTAAGACAGGCAGGCTTTGATCACCCTCTGGAGTACAGCGGAGAGAGGAAGAGATGCAAGTTGTAGGAGGAATGCAATATATTTGCGTTAGTCCCATTCGTTCACCCTGAGGCTTAGTTCAGCGCTGACTGAATACACAGCCATTTTCAACCTTGACTTTCTACTGTCAAGGCTTACATTTATTAAACACTTCTCCTATAATTTTCAGAGTTGAATATGAGTTCAAAATCTTCTGCAGACTGCTACAAAAAGGGTATCCAAATCACAGGGTCAGTGACCGTATTTTCCCCTCTTCCTATTTAGTTGCTTTTCTTTTATGTTTCATCATCCACAGGGGATATGCACAGGAAAAAAAGACCTGGGAGGCCAGGGACTGAACAAGGGAAGACAGGGAGTTGAAAACAAGAGCAAGACGGAAGAGAGAGCTGGTGGGAAAAAGGGAATGTTGGCTTAACTGGGGGTAGTCCACATTTTGACAGTTAATTTCTGCTGAAAAAATTTACTGATAATATATATACACACAGAGACATACACATATAAACATGCATGTAAAAATTAAATGGCAATTAAAGCAGAGACAGAAAGATAATGATTTTAGCTTCCATCTCTACTAATTATTTCCTTATGCACTAAACACATTCAACCCAGGCGCTGCACATGTGTGCACTTGTTGACAAAGTCCCAACTGTCAACAGAGAATGATACAACCCCACGGCCACAGCCAAAATGGATACACCAGCCAACTATAACATAATTGTGTGCAACCACTGCCAAATCCCAAGCTGACATGCATCCTGTAGGGTTTCATTGAAGTCAGCGGGGCTGCATGGTATATTAAATGAGCTGGGCTGCAAGGGTGGTCCGAAGCTGTACTCTGATATGTGGTAACAGCAATGAGGTGCTGAGAGCCACCCCTGCTTTTGGGTACAGCTGTATCATTCCTTCATAGCTCCAGGAGAAATCCTGGACTGTAACAGAAGAGACTCCCAAACGCACAAGGATTGTTAATTAGAGAGTAATAACTCTTGTGGACAATATAAATCATATAAAGCTATACGCTATCCATTCTCAGCTTCATGACAGACTCTCACAGACGGTGTGATTGTAGTAGGCATTAATTTGCATACAATTGCATAATACTGGTTTTCCCCTTAGATATTTCAACAAACCAGTGCAATCATCCACTTGCAACCTTCTATATGACTGCTGTATGTTGCAAGTTAGGGCATCTTATGTTCTTTCATATTTTTAGTATCTTCCTCTGGGTAGGAACCATGACTTCTCAAGGTTTTTAGGATCAAGGCATGCACAGCTTTAAAATATGTAGCTGAACAATAATTCCACATTTTCTCATTATACTTCAAGTAGACAGAAAAACACCCCTTCACACCCAGAAGACCGTGAATGAACAGTTCAGCTAGTTCGAGGACTGCTGTTGAAAAATTACAAAATGGCAGAATTAGATTTAGAGTAATTAATAGTCATGCAAAATTTTTATCCGCTAGTTCTTTTATGACTTAAAAGACTAAGTTTCACCTGTAATCTGGTTTCCTTTTACTATTGTACACAACGTGGAGCTTTTGGTGTTCAAGACATTCCCCTCTTTCTCTCCAGCTGCCCCCCCCCCACCATGGCGGGACCTACAGCCCTTCTTTCTATGCAGTCATCACTGAAACGGCTTGAACATGATCACGCCCAGTTACAGCCCCTTCAGAAAGATGCCTGTTGAGACTCTCCTTCACCCTGTATATTGACTCTGAGACAATATATTTCAAATTCCTGGAAGCTTGACTTCCCCTGGCCACTCTACAAAAATAGGAAACCAGTTGTGAACCTCTTAATCCTGCAGTGCACCACCACCTCCGTGAACGCTTCTCCCACTCTTGCATTGTCAGCATGCCAGCGGAGGAGACACACTCCATGCTTTGATTAATCATCCGTTGATCAGTCTTGCCACACTAAGAGCTATGGTGAAACTGTGTTACCTTTGATAGGATGTTGAAATGAATACTTTGTGATAAACTAGCCAATTTAGTCATAAATATAATAGGCGCAGTATTTATCAGGATAGGCTTTATCCTTAGGTACGCAACTACTACACTACCAAAGATATCTTCATCATTTTTTGGAATTGTTTTTGGAGGGGGAGAAAGAATAAGCAGACAATGCAAACAAACCTTTTGGCAAGAACTTCAAAAACATGCAGATGGCAAATCAGTCTGATGACTAAGATAGAGAAAAACAGACCATATTCTCTGAAGTGCAAAATAATGTAAAATATAGGAGGTCTCAATTTTTTTTAGCAGCTCTTTTACAAATGTCTCATGTTTACCAGCATTTTACAGTTTGAAATCTGATCTCTTTATTATGAGTTCTTAAAAGGCCCATTCCCTGAGCTCGAAGCACTGATATTCACTGTAAACAGAATCACTAACTAAAGAACAGTTTTATAATTTTGGGTTCGTGGTAGCTATTAGGAAATTCTTGTTCAACTCCACAAACAGTATTATTCAAAATGAACACAAATCCGAATACTTCCATTATTTTTGTAATTGAAACACCATGGACTTTTGCTTGGCATTTGGAGAACAAATGTACATAAAATCTAAAGGAACAAATATCCTCTGAAAAGAATGACATTTTGTATTGAGCTGATGATGTTGAGAAAAGAAAATGTTCTGTTTGATGAGAAAACAAAAACTTTTTTTATAAGGTTAACCCAAATTATTCACATAGTTTCAATGGGTAGTTTTTTCACAAACAAGTCATAATTTGTGATGCACATAATTGTACATAATTTGTACCCTTCACCAAGACTACATTTTTTGTAATATAACTGCTGCTTTTTAGATTCATTTTCAAAAAATGTCACAGAGACCAGAACCTTGAAATTTTAATCTCTTTCTCTGCTAGGTTGTTAATCCCTTTGTGGTGAGCTTACTGGTCCTACAAGCACAGAGTTCACGCTCACGCCCATGCTCATCTCCAGATACAAGAAAAAATAATTTCTTTACTGTTATACTTTATAATCCTACATTGAGACTTTAATTTTCTACAAGTTCCAGCCTTGAAAATACCTGACAATCTTTGTTATAAACAAGAAATTAGTGTCTTATTCCCATTACGTGCAAAGCGCTATGTGTTTAATCAAGCACACACCCCCACATACTCATTCTGTCTTTCTATATGCAAGATGAATGCTCATGTTTTCAAATTTAAATTACATTTTTCTCCCCAAATGTAAAAAATTCATTTTTTTTTCCATCACACTAGTCCACCACATCTGGTTTCGACAGCCCTTCACGTAGCCACATTTACCAAGGCTTTGAGCACACTACAAAGTAATGAGTCTCAGTAAGGGTAATACAACATCTACTAGATAAACAGAGCAGCTGTTATGCACTTTACAATAACTCACAGCAGCCCTGAACATTAGGATCTCTTTTACTGAAGGGGTGAATATTTCCCAGGACCCTGAGGTTACCCACCTGGACAGCAACCAGAGAAAAGCAGGACAATTTAATGTCCCATGCACCTCCAGCAGTGAAGTACCACTCTACAGTATGACAGTATTTATGGCCAAGGAAGGACTGTATGATTCATTGGAGGTTTTTGTTTAGAGTAGAGACGATAAAGAGAAAGGTCTCTAAAGTAGTACTGTAACATCAGTTTTGTTTTCCAGATTTAATTTGCACCAAATCTCCTGTATTTCCTTTTAAAATAAAAAAATCCATAGACTGATCAGTCAAAAATGTGCCAAACTATTTTTAAAAACTGGCATTAGGACTTACAGGAGTCAGTCAGTCAGAATTTGTCTCTTCTTTGATGATATCTTTGGTATCCTTTTTAAGGGTTATAACAGGGCTGAAACTGGTCATCTGATTATTTTTTTTTCTTTAATAAGAATTACCTCTGTCTGGAAGCCCCTCTACCCCTTGAATTAAAAACATATTCTGTAAGTGGTAGAACAGATGCACAGAAGGGATATTTGGATGTGATACAACATTCAAGACAAAAATCATCTCACTGAACTTGAAATGTTACATGAAGTGAATCCTAGGCAAAGTATCGAAGAAGTGCCCTGAGTTAGACCAGCTGAGAATTTGACCTGAGGATTAAAATGAGCTATGGGCTATTTTACTGACGCCGAGCACCTCTGGTTCCCACTGAAGTCACTGGAAACTGTGGATGCTCAGAAGCAATAAAAAGTAAACCATTGTCTCCTATTATTTTTCATACTTATGCTGCAGAATGATTTCTAGCATGAAATACTATACATTTCCTCAATGTGGCACCTTTCCAGCAACTTTGTCTCTCAGTCTGCTCCTGATTTTATGCCTTTATAGATATACATGTTTCTCAGTAGAAGCCAACATTTAAAAACAATAAAGGAATTCCCCTGCCTGAAGAAAGAGAGAAAACTCACATGAGAAACTAAGATTACACTTGGGAATGATGGGTTTCACATGACTGTGACAACATACCACGCTGCTGACAGCCCTGAGATCCTGTGCTGCGGTAAACTGAAAGAAATCCTCAGACTGCTGCTGACTTGCGTTTTCTATTTCAGACCATAAACCCCATCTTTTACAGGGCTGTAGTCAATTCAGGCACTTTATCAGCATCTGTTTGTTACTCTCTCCCCAGCGTCTCTTTAGTCTTGTTACAGTCCCTCCCTTAAACTAACCTGACTAAATGTTATTCCTAAATACAGCTCCAAGCCCTGAACCACTACAGTTCCAACATGTTTCCCCCAAAAATCAGTAAGTCTTTCTCTAACACAGTAACCAAAACAACACATAATATTCTATGATTCTAATTCAGATGGGACTTGAGGTAACAGTTAGCATCGTCAGAGTTTGTGTTCCAGATCTCCATTTTATAGTACTTCCTTTCAGCGTGCACTTGGTTTTACCTTGTGCTGGCTGCTTTATTTATTTATTTATTTATTTTTAATCAAATTATGCACTATTGCCCCAATGCCATATTCTCCTGGACTTTTTTTTCTAAACTTAAAACACATCACAAGTAAACAAGACAAAGCAGACAAATCTGTGATATCTACAGAATTAGTCAAAACAAAAGAGGACAAATCATCTTAAAAGATTTTTGGGGCCCATTTGCTGCTCTTTCTTCTGTTCACAAACCAGTACCATTCTTATTCTCATCACCACCCTACTTGCCAGAATACACACACACCCCCACACACGCTGCTCAAATTGCTCCCAAATTCCTGCTTTCACCTCAGGGTCCCCTGAGGTCTGCCAGTACTTCAGAAATGTGATGGGGAGTTCCTTTTACCAGGGACTAAGCCCCTCCAAGTGGCCCAGGACACACTGAACTCCAGCTCATGTTTAGGCTGATGACACTGGACTTTAGAGGCAGGATTCACATCTCATTAACTTCACAGTCTAGGAGTCAGGTGTCTCAGGTACACATCTTACATGTATCTTCGCATCTAGTCTCTCTCTCTGCCATCAGGGGACAGAGAGAGGCAGGATGCACCTACCTCTCTCCACCGAGTGCAGGGGGAGCTTCAGCAACTACCTTTGGTCACCAAAATTTTGTCCAGCTATTGTTATCAAAGATGAATCCCAATCTATGCTATCTCTACACTTTTTCAAGGGGTCTTTATGAATATGTTGAATGACTTCCAGTTTACTAAGCACAGGCAGTCTTCTGCCCACCAGAAGTTTCTGTGATATATGTTTGTTTGCAATTTTACCAGATAGCTTTAGAGTTCACTGCAAGATTACCTGGCCTGTAGTAAGCTGAATACAGGAAAAACAAAAAATTCACCAGCACAACCATTGCAGATATACACAAAACAGGCTGAGTTAAAGCAATTTCAGTTGTGTGCTCTCTCCCTCACACCACTGGTCCTGCTTTTTATGCAAAGATGTAAGGTGCCAAATAACGGATAATTTATAGCAGCAGTCTTTCCTACATTCTGTAATAGGCAGGCTGAAGTTATATTTCAACAGTAAGTAAAGAATAAAGCAGAGTTAAGAGATTATTAATGTCATATCAGTACCAATACATATTTAAAGAAACACTGAACTTAAGCAATGATTGCTTAATTTATGATTGGTACATACTATAACTTGGGCCAAAAATAAAGGCCACCCAGGAGCAGCTGCTGGTGAGGCATGCAGTGGTCTTTCTTCCCAGCAGGAACACTTGACAAACATGTTAGTGCTCCACACACAGCATTTATTGTCAATCAAGTTACAGAGCTATTTAATGGTCTTTTTCCTTAACTTCAAAGAATTAAATGGGATAGGGCCAATTCGTCTCTGCAATCACCTCTCTCTCTCCCTACCACATCTGCTATGCTCAAAGGGGGTCCCCTTAGGCTGACAAAGCTCAGGTTTGAACTTGTCACGCTCTAGGATGGTAAGACGTTTCCAGTCATAGGTCGGTAATTATGGAACTTGCTTCTACACGAGATCAGACAGAGTGAACCTTCTTGCCATGACTTGGTTTATATTTTAGAAATTAAATCACTTAAAATCTCTCAAATATCTGTAGAAATTTTGTGTCCATATACTTAAAATACTGTAAGGGCCTAAAAAGGAATCTAATAATCTCTTAGAATAAACTATGTTCCAGTAGATGCAACTGGAAGAACTGTTCCTCTCTAACTGCACTGTGGTTGAAGACAAAAGGCAATCTTGACTAACTCATCTACCTCTGCTATAGCTAACACACTGCCCTGGAGGCCTTAACAAGAATTACAAACCAGAGGCTTTCAGGAGCAGAAATAGAGATTGTGGGACAAAAATCCAGAATGCTTTCAACTGAGAAAAAGTAGGTCTGGGGCAAAATTTCAGCACAGCTAGAGTGACACACTCAACTGCTTATGCTTAAGATAGTCTAATGAAATGAGTTGAATTACAAAGAGTGCAATTCAATTTCTGGCAGTCTCTGACACAGACAAGTCCCTGACAGTTCCCCAAAGTTTTTTTTTAAAGCTGTAGATACAGACAGCTGTAATAAGCCAACCTAGAGTGGAGGAAAAAGGAAGGTTCTGTGTCCAGAGGAAAATGTGAAACATTATGTTATTACTGACAGTACAATAATGGGTGACAAAGACAAGACAGCGGTCACAAGAGAACAAGTTATCACTTTCAATACCCACCTCATTAGTAACTGAGAGAATTGACAGTGCAGAATCACAGTACTTCAGTGCATTGTTTTTCTGGCCAAGATCTTTATAGCACTGAGAAGAAAAAACATTTTGTTTCCAATCAGACCACTGTAAGAATACCAGAGTCTACAAATCATTATTTTTAAAAGAACTTGGTTACCTTTGCCAAATACACATAGTTGTATTTGGAATATCCTGGATGCATATCTTCTGCCTAAATAATAAAAGACAGAAAATAGACATAAAACTTGTGTGATGAGATTTATGTGGTCTGCATAGCATTTTTAGTAATGCACTAAGCTTCCTCAAACATCAGACTAAATCATCCCTACTGTGTGCACCCCAGTCTGTTTAGCACTTAAAAAAAAACTCAAGAAAACCCAAACCCCAAACCCTAAAGCAGGCACATGAGGTGCTGATAATGAACACATAAAAATGTTCTCTACTTCTTGCTCTCCTGTCTGCCTGAGTGCTTTGTAAAGATATCGTATCATTCTATAGAATATCTATTGGATTCATTCACTTACACGGTGGGTTGGAAGACACTGCTCTCTCTAGATTGTTAATATTTATTTTCTCATCAAAGAAATAAGCAAGCAACCAACCATTCACACTGTGAATAATGGGTAATGAACTGTATTCATCAACTTAATAATTATTTTTCTTTCACAGACCTGTATCTTCTAGCTCTAGGTTCACCTTTCTTTTCACATTACCATCTTCTGAGAAGTTCAGGTCATTAAAACAGTTCAGGATTGTCTTCCTTTTAAAATACATCAAAGATGTAGAAGCTTGAAAGGTGAGTGAAAACCTTACTAATTATTTGCTAACCAAGAAGCAACTTTAATCAACAAACAGCTTTGGGGGAGAAAAATTACACCAGTGAAATTTACAGTAGCTGTATTCCTTGGACCAAAACAATGCTGCTTTCACTACAGCTGTGTATTATCAAACAACTGAAAAAGAAGCCCAAACAGTTGTCTTTTAGACAGTAATTTAATTTTTGGTGCAGAAGACGACTTAAAACCAGAGTTACTCTGCAGCCCACCACGAAATACCCTGAAGCTAAAGTGAACATTTCAAATTACTTCTACCACTTTTTGAGTTTGACATTAAAGATAAAATCCTTCAAACTGGGAAGATGATAACCTATTGTATTGTCCAAAATTCAGGAGATCATTCCATCTTTAAATAGACTAAGAACACAGGAAACAGGCACTTTTGATAGTGAAGAAAATATGTTTGTCCAACTCCTTTGAGAACCTGTCTGAAAGTAATTGTAATGATGGAATTTTATGCTTTGAATTCAGTCAAGTGAAAAACTTGTACTTTTCAGCTCCAGAAGTAGAAATGATTCATATAAAAGACACTGAAAGATAGGTTTATGTTATTCATGTGGTGTTTTCTCATAACTGTGCATTCAAGTAGAATGCCCAGGAACATGGACCTATATGACAGAGCTTTCTTTTCTACTTCACTACAAAGGTAATTTAATCCCACAAACAAGAAAGGCTTCTACTGAAATTCAATGAAAAATGCTTCAGATCAGAAAAAGACAAGTGTCACAATGTCAAATTTTTCCTTGCCTATGTTAACCCTCTTGCAGAAACAGGCAAATCATCAGTTATTGCTATGGTTAACTTGTTTCAATGGCATATATAACTAATCTGTATCCATCTCACATTATATCCAATAACTATCAACCATGGCAAGTCATTGAAGAATTCCCTAAAACTAAAGAAAGAGAAGAAAGGTGCTAGCCACTCATCTCCAAATTAATTTTAAAATAGAAAAGAAAAAATATTTTAGTAGAGAGCTCTGGGGTACTTAGGAGAGCTACTGAACACAATTTGTTGAGCAGACATCTTGACAACAGTCACATATAGCAGCTGGTAAACAGTCACACAGGAAAACTCTTGGCTAGGACTTACCTTAAGGAAATTCTGCAATGCTTCTTCTACTGTTGAAGTTGGTGGAGTCCCAAAGAGAGCAGCAGCTACTTTCTTTTCAATCCAAGACAACTGAGCTACCTATTTAAAAAAAAAAAAAAAAAAAAAAAAATCAACAGTCTTTAGGGTTGCTTCTCAGTTTTGGAGCAAATACCGTCCTATGCTTGCAAAAGAACCTTTAAAGGAATGTTTTATACTGTCTATTTGCCAGCTTAAAGCATACTCTTTTGGATTTTAGATTCTGTTAACAGGAAAATGCACACGTTAAGAAATACATGACAAACCACCAACATCATTGATATGAGATTATTCCAATGTACAAAGTTTGAAGTATAGTTCAGGTTTCGTAAGACCTTGCCATTGTTTAAAACCTAAGGCTAGATAGTGCTTTAAACCTGTTAAGGTTTTCATGAGACAGGCAGCTTAGCATGATAGTCCATGTACTTGACTACTTTACAACATTATGAAAAGCTGTTGCTACAGTAAAAATGTGAGTGCTTTTGGTACTTGTAGAACGTTAATTTATTACACAGAAGTTGGTGACAAGTACTGTTAAGACATAGGCTTCATTTTTTCCTCTTCAAATCTGACAAATAACACTTGCCAAAGACCTCTTCTCATTTCAGGAAGAAGGGCTGCTATAAGAGGACTTTAGGGAACTGTCATATTGCCACACAATGTACATGACTTCTTCCCTTACATATACTGACACCTGACAGAAACTGTCCTCATTACTGCCATAAGGTATTTGGCTCCATCACCTAACCTGGCGAAACACACCTCACACCTCTAATGAAGGATGGAGCTGCTAAGAAATGCTATGTGAGACCACAGCCTGTTTAAATGGAGAAGTGAAGCCACCCTCCTTCGGACACTTCTACTACATCTGTAAAGAAAAGTCAGGACTTTATTCCTTCACATCAGTATTTGAACCACAGCACTGATGGCTCCTGTCACAGAGTACAGCTGAGTTTAAAAATGGTAGAAAACAAGGTCCTCTGTTTTCCTAACAATTTCTGGCATGATCTATGCAGAGACAACACAGAGAATGGATACACTCAGGCAAAGAAAGAGAGCCTCTCATCGGAGACGTGGAGATGAAATACGAGTCACATAGTGACATCTCTTTTTCAGAGGGAGCTGCAATTCAAATAAAAGAGTTAGGCCTTGTATTCAAGGGGTTTTTTTACTGCCGTAAAAATTAAAATGGTTTTGGATAGCTTTAGATTATTCCCACCTCATTCTCTGGCTTCCCAATCTCTTCAGGGCTGTTGCTGCTCCCCTTGCCTTCTCCAGCTAAATCCAGCAATTATCCAGTAGATGTCAGTTAATTATGGTAAAATATGGAATCCATCCACACATAACTATCCACAGCCATCAAGCAGAATGCTTCTCTTTTGAACAGACATCAAGCTCTATGTATTTCTTGTTGCAAACTGCCCTAATAATACCATTGCAAAGAGTACAAATACAGGCCAGCACGCAACAGGAAAACGCATAGGACCGTGTCTCTTCATCTGGCCCCAATGACTCTAGCTACAGAAGAGCAACATTGCTTGGAGACAAGGCATCCTGGTCAAGTCTTGCTGGTTGTTCCACAGGGTCCAATGCCTTATTTGTTAAATGCCGTCAGTAAGTCTTTCACATAAAACCACTAAAAGTTAAATTCCAGAGAGAAACAATATTGAGAAAATAAAGCTTTTTTTCATTCTCTGTCTCTCTCTCACATACCCCACTCTTGAAGCCTCTTCTAAGGGAATGAAGTCGCTTTTTACAAAAGATCTCCAGCAATCCCAGAGTTCTTATTCACTATAGCAAGAAGATGTTTCCCCTCTCTGCACTGCCTTGCTTTCACACTGTGTTACAAACTGCAGCATGCTGGTTAAAACTTCAGTTTGTAGGTATGTATAGAATTCCTTCACACACTTCATTTCCCTAGCTGCTCTATAGTTTCTGAGACATATTCTGCAAGAGATACTAAAAGGATTTTTGCAAAAGTATTGTTTTCTTCATGCCAATCTACTGCTGCAGTGTTCTCTATTATTTTGGAAGAGGAAGGGGTTTTCTGTATTTCTAGGTCCATCACATCAAGATAGAGGTAGCTTACAGAAGGAGGAAGAGAGGGAAAAAACTAAAGGGAATGTATACGCTTACACTGTTCTCTGCATGACCACACAACACCCTGGAGATACACATACACTGCACAGATACAATTACCACACACCTGTCTGCTGTTATGCACTAGTGAGGAAACAGAATTGCAGTTTTTCCATGTGGAGTTATAATTACCTATTGAATACACAATTTCTTCCTGACAGTTGTTTTATTTTCTTACAAGATTTAATCAGAACTGATTTACTGAGGTTTTAGTCCTTATTTTGTCTGGCTTGGGTGCTGCTTTGCATTATTCAAACTTAAAAAACCCAAATATATATGCACTTGGCCATTTTTATATTACAAATCCAACCAACTTAAAATGTTTAAAAGTAAAATGCATGTATGCACAATAGTGAGTTTTCTTTAATGTGCACTGGCTCCAGCATTATACTTTGTGACTATTACACAGATAGTCTAAGAGTTCTGTAATGTTTTGAGCCATCAGACTTATATGCCACTGGCTTGATGAATTCATTGCAGCTAACTCCAGCCATCCATAAGTGAAGTGCCTAGTTTACGCCAGTTGTCCAGATTCCTTGCATGGTCAGTACAGAGACAGGCATTTCCATTAGGCAATTCCTCTTCACCTATATTAGCCCAGGATGAACACTCCTCTCTTTCTCTTCTTTCTTTCCTTCAACTACAAAAGGAGCATAGACAATTATACCTTGTGAATGGCTAAAGACAGGTGAGGCGAATCCCATCACAACAGCTTAACCACACCCCACCTGAGTCAGTCTGCACCCCGCTATGACTGAGGTGGGACAAATGGAAAAGACCTGTTTTATGCAATATGCAAAATTGTGTCCTGGAGAAATAATGATGAACAGGAAATTATACCCTTCCCCTAAACACGGACAAGCACAGTCTTTAATTTGAAATAACTTTATTACAGTAAATCTTATGCCATGTTCAGTGAAATGGAAACATCATTCCTACTATACCAACTAACTTTATTAAGCATTCTCTGTGTGTGAGCAAGCACAGGCAACAGAAACCCTGGTGTAGCATGCTCTAGAGTAGTGCAAATTTGACTTCTACAGTCAAGGTTACTCCAAATAGTGCAAAGCATATCTGGAGGTCCATACAAAAATCAAGTACAAAGAGACTGTAAGTATCATCAACTTCAGCAAATTTAACTTAATGCGTGTTCCAAGAATGGTATAGGACAGCAGAAAGTAATAAGAAAAACAGCTACTGCAGCAAGTAATAGCTACAACAACAACAAAAAAAAAAAAAAAAAAGATTGCCCTTGCCCTACAGATGATTTCCAAACCTTAAGTGAGTTTTGTTTTTTTAGGTCTCCCAAGCCCTGACATCAGTGCCCCCAGCAGCCTGAAAATTCGCAAGAGCACTGCAAGGAACACTGTGTTTCCACAGAATATCAGGTTTTAATGTATTGGGTCACTTGAGGAACATCATTCCCCAGCTGCTATACACGAGGAGAGCTAGTCCCACTCGCTCGAGAGCAAAAAACAAGGGCCTGAGAGACCATCAGCCAACTCCTGAACTTCCCTAGGGCTGGCAGGGAGTGGGTCATGACGACAGCCTGGCCTCTGCCAAGAAGGCCACTCTTCAGTATCACAAATCTAACAGAGATGCTTGTCTCAAACAATCTCTCCTATAGATCTGTCAAACAACAATCTCTCATCCATTTATTCTACCCAAATCTCTACTAATACCAGAGATTGAAGAAAGCTACCCACAGAGTTAAACTGCAGCTGACCGCGAAGTTCGTACCCAGCATGCTCCTATCAGGCCTCTCGTTCCTCTGAAGAGCAAGGCAGAAAATGTGGTTCTCCCCTAAATACTGGGAAAAGGGGTTTCCTAACATCCCTTTCTTTTCCTTAGCCTAGGATGAGCAAAAATCACATATGAACTGAAACACTGGCTAGAGTTTCGTTTTTTTGTTTTGTCTTCTCTTTGTTTTTGATGAGATGCAAACCCTGCCCACTGACAGCTCTCTTCAAATTCCAGGATGTTGGTACCAAGGAAACTAACCCACTTGGATTGAAAATTCAGCCAGGATTGACTTGCAGCCCCTGATGTTTCCTTGCTAATAGCTTACTGAAGACAGATCACACAATTGCCTTCCATAAAGGAAAATCATCCCATTGATCCAGCTTCAGTAAAATATTAATAGCACCTACTTAAATGTCCCCAGAGAGTTTTTTTTCCTTTTTTATTACAATATATTAATGTAAAATTGCATTAAATAATTTTGCAATATTTTGACTTCTGGAAGAGATTAAGTAACTGGACAGCAGTTTTAAAATACTGGCTTCCAACACAAATATTCTCTTTCTTGCCAGCTGAGGAACCAGGACAGTCTACACAGGCATTTAGGCATTTATCCAACTTGAATTCCCTGGGCTTTTCACTTTCCGGTAAGGGGAGCAGACTTACAGAGCACACAGACAAAGGAACTGGGTCAATTTGTTCCCTGATGTAACCCAAACAGATACTGGGATACAGCAGAGATTAATCCAACACCTGGCATGTAACCTGCAAAAAGGAAATCCCACAAGATCTACTTTTTAACACCCCACTAGCATTTACCAGAGGCTCTGATCCAGTTTCACAAGTATATGCTAACTGTTCTGTGTCAGTCCTGTAATGACAAGTAGCCGTAAGTCTTAACTAGATACATACTCCATTTTAAAAGCTATTCTAAACATTAAAACACCAAAAAACCTCACAAACACGCAATTTTAAAGGATTATCAGATAATTGCACCAAAAACTCTAAGGAAAGAAAACTAATTTCTATACACCATGCACCACAGATCAATTCACTTCCAACAAATATTTCTTGCTGATCTGAAGAGCAAAGTAGTTTTCACTTTCCCTTAACAAAAACACAGCTGAAACTTGAAAGGCTCTAAACACTGTACTTATTTTAAATCATATGAACTAACCCAGGCATATATTTAAAACATTAAACCTTCCCTAAAAGATATGTACTTAACAAAGCCTGTTCTTGTCACAGAAGGCTGAGAAGAAAAAGTTTCATCCACCACCAAAGACATTTTAAATGAAAATTATTTTGCTGCAGTTGTTTTTCTTTGGAATAGTAACATCTCTTTTACATAATAAACGCTGGTTTGTTCTGCTTACTCAATATTTTAAAGTATCTTCATTACAATTATATAGTAATCATCTTTTCCTTTTTTTACCCTGGAAAAAATGACCACTACACAGAAGTTCAAATTTTCCTCTGGAAAAAGGAATATTACAATAACATTTCGTAGGGTTCTGCAGTTATCCATTACTAGTGGTGTTCAATTGTGTTTGCTCAATGCATAAATAAATAGGGCTTTTTTTCCCCTTGTCACCTCTGCAAAACAAAACAAAAAACATTAGAGCTATATGTGGCTTCTTGTATACACACCAGGTCTCACAGGCAAAATTTTGCCCATCATGACATCTATGAAATGATTGGTGAAAATCTTGCCTACCTGATTGTGATACCAGAAGCAATTTTCTAACAAAGCTGAGATGATACACACATCAGAACAAATTCTTTCTCTTTAGTATAGCTCTGCTGGCTTTATAATGGTAACAGAAATAAGAAACAGCAAAAATTGATTTTTAGACAAGGTGGCACACAACTGTCACTGGCTCTGCATCAGAGACAAACCCCCACTGCTGCGAGGCAGTGAAAATCCAGCTCACCCCTCCCGCTGGAAGGTGCTATGACACTTTGCATCAGCTTCAGATCTGGCCCAGCGAGAATAACTGCTGAGTAAGAAACTTGGCATTGCTGTACCATTGCTCTTGCAAAGGACTGTCACACTGAGGAAGGTGAGAAATGGCAGTCAGAGCCAAATACTGGCAAACCTCCACAAATCAAATAGCTTTATGAGTATAGATTTCAGCCTTCAGTAAATCTTCTCCATTTGCCTCCACTATACTTTTTACTTAAAAGTCTGTTCAACTGATTTTCATTTGTGAAAATGAACTGGAGCCCAGGTTTACAACACTCAGAGCATCCCCTTTTGCACTCTTTTATGCTATACCAATTTTTTCCAGTGTGTCAGCCCAAAAAACAGCACTAGAAGATAGTAATAAGATCCCCCAGCATTAAATGGGGAGTGAAAGGGAAGCGTCTGACTTTACTAGGAAGACTTAAGTACATCATGTTTCCCAAAAATGTTATCAAAGCCTAGAAAGTATTGAACGCTACTTACTCTTTTGAACTACACTGCTTCAGTAGAAGAATATATGACTAAAACCAAACAATAATGCCCCTGGAAGCAACATTTGTGAAACACCAAATATTGTAGCCAGTCTTAACTGGACCCCAAAGTCAGCTAGGCTAAATATAAAAATGAACCTTCTTTCCTCAGTCATCCCTTTTTCTTCTTTAATTTCCTCACATTGGGCAACACAGCTTTCCCAGCCTCAATCTCAGCTAGACTAAACAGAAGAAACAGAAGGTCTAAGAGGAGCATTATCACTCCATCTACAGGTACCAGTACAGAGAAGAAGTGATAAGTGTATTTTTCAAGCACCCTATCATAATCCCTACCCCGAAGAATATTTGGAACCAATCCCACAGCCAACAGTCTGCTTTCAGGATAATTACCACAGCACAAAACACCACAGTCTGCAGAATAGGACTAAGGAATTTGCCACATCTTCCACAAGCTTCCAAGACTATCTACCTCACATGTATGGCCAAAACCTGTATTACTGGATCAGCACAAAAACCTACTCAGACAGTGTGCTAAGACTAACGAGGATATCACCAACTTCACCAGGCCAGGACTGAGATCTAGTTTCCATAGTAGAACCTCAAAACTAATGTTCCCAAATGATGGCCTCATCCTGCTACTGAAAGTGTGCAACTGACAGAAAGTTTTTAGGAGTTGGCAGCCCCAGAAGTTAAACCAAAATGTTATTCAGTTTTATACTTGTATTTATTTGTACGATGAAAATCTAAGTGTTTCAGGTTACTATTTTGTCATGGCCATCGAGACAGTCACAGAGGCAAGAGTTAAAAAAAAAAAAGAATTAAAAAAGGAATAAATCCGTACGTATTTCAGTGGCAACATCTGTTTAGGTGGATTGTTTCACTTAATAAAATGCAGGTCAGGGCATACTTTAAAGTAAATGCTAATCTGTGGCTTTAATGTTCAGTAAAGAAGCCCTGCATAGATGCTGCAAGTGTGGAACATGAGTCTGTAATGATAGAGCGCAGCAAACCACATGTATTAGTCTGGAAGCGGTGATTGTCACTAAAGTGAAACAAGAGTGAAAAAACAGTGCTATAAGAACAAAGTGAGGTATACTGAGATTACATGTGAAGTTTCCAAAAGCAATAGCTCAAGTGAGAAATAAGTCATGAAAAACATGTGGGAGTGTTTGACATAAATGGAAGCTACAGTCCACTGTTGGACACAGTACAGTATAAAAGTGCTTAACAAATCACGGGTGAGAGAGATGTTCTTCAAAGGCAGGACAGCAAGCGTACTATAGGACAATCTTCAGCAACTCACTTTTGCATAGCTAATGCTGATAATCAAGAATACAGGGTGATGAAAACCACAATGAAAACTCTTTGAAAAAGTGGGTGTCGTTCCTTATCCAAATCAACTGAGAAAAAATGTAGTTGCTGAAAGCTCTTTGAAAGTTAAATATATGATCTGAAAAAACTGCTGAAAGATTACTTTGCATTAAGTCTTGTTGCAGATAAAGACAAAGTCAAAGTCTGTAATGTATCACAATAACTCCTTCTTTCCAGTTTGCAGGCACTTCATAGTGACTAGCACTGGAAGTAGCTGGAGGAAGGCAGGACTGGAATTCACTGCACATTAGCAGTTAACATGCTACAAAGCCCCCCAGTGATCTTTTACAGTATAGACTATGCAATAACACTTTCTTCTGACAAAAGATTTCTCATGGCACTAAAAATGAAGCAATAAGGACAGCCATCTGAGCCATCAAAGATGTGAGCTTAAGAATAAGACAACTCTCATTACAAACACAAGCACCATTTTTCTAAAAAAAAAAAAAAATTAATCAACAGCTAAGTTTGTAAAACAATTATTTGAATTTTTCATATATGAGTACTTATCACTATGTCATTAACACAATATTTAAAAGCACCCGTTGTGTTGCCATAACACAAATTGCATCTCTTGCAAAACATTTTGGTGAACTGTAGATTTTTATGCCTGCATCTTTGTTCTGACATTCTCCTGGAATTTACCAAGCCTTGCTACCGCAAGCCATAATCCCACAGCATGTAAGTGCCTTTAACTTCAGGTATGGATGGGGAATAAAGTTACCAAAAGGCTATATTACCAGCCCAAGGTCATCCAGAAAGTTTGTGGCAGAATAAAGAACTGAAATCAAGGCTTACAATACCCAGAGGTCACCCTTCCTGCCTTCCAAGTATCCGTTACTTTCCGTTCATACATTCAGATAAGAAACCTGAACACAACAATGAGGGACATACAAGCACAGCTTACTTAATGTACATGACAGGAATGGTCAGCAGTTAACATCACACATGTGGAAGTTAATTCAGGAAATGTAAGAGTACGGCTTCATTTAGCTCAAAACACCTACTTCAGTAAACACCTACTTTCTCTTAGGTCCCACTATTTCATTTCAAATGCATTATCATTTTTCAGTATACCAAATTCGTATGTTAGATTAAAAAAAAAAAAAAAACAAACAACTTACTGAATAGCACCATCTTCCATTTAGGTAATATAAAAAAGGATCTTGAGGCTTAAGTTCAATTGCTTTGTCTAGGTGCTCCTATTAGAAAGAAAATCAGTGTCACTTCACATGTCTGTTTAGCAAGTGTGTTTACATTCTAAGAAGTTAGCTGCAAATCATAAACAAATACAGAAATTCTCTTCTGCCGCAATTCTTTTCCAACAACCTAAAAATATTTTAACTAGCAAACCCCTTCCTCATGGAGGGAAACCACAAACAAAATTATTTAGCAACTTTGCACACAATGCAAGAAGGCATGCTGTATTTAGAATATGACTAAGCAGCTCTAAAGTTCAAAGAACTCAAGAACTTGTCTTAAAAAGGCAAAAACTTCAATTAAATTCATTTTATTTACAGTTAGTATTAGGAAACTGTCACACACCAGATCAGTGAGAAAGCAACCACTCTCTTTAATAGATCTTGCGTGCCAGCACCTATCACAGAAGCATAGTCCCTTCCACCCTGGGATGTGACTGCCCCGATGAAATGGTACATGACACAACAAATTGTTACTATAATGTGCAATTCAGAAAATAAAATGGTTGTTTGTAGTGAAACCATAAAACCTAGAAAGCATCTAATGAGGTGCTTCTTCCAAAACTATTTTCATTACATGTCATGAGTATCTTTATTTCACTCTGTAATTACCAGAGAAAGCTCTTATGCTGAACCTGAGTTTGAAGAAAAAAGAACTGTTATTTTGCCCCAATCTACCATTTGCCTCTCTCAATAAATTTCACTTCCTCCCCCACCCCAGATATCTCTGTTTTTCTAATTAAGCCAGTCACTCAAATATCTGAGTCATACAGATCTAAGAGACTATTATTCTATCATTTTGTCCACAAACTATTCAGATAAGAGCTATGCTTTCATGCTATTATTTTCCCAAATCCTTAACATTTCCAAATGCTTCACGTGGATTTCAGTAACTACTTCTGAAGAGGAAAACCTCCCTGAAAAGGCTACTGCTAACACTGTGGGCTCTTTTTAAACTCCATCCTTAAACAACTGCAGCACTTGTGTTATTTGTCATTTTCCCTTCGTTCCTAGCTTGTCCCAGCGCTTGGGGCTTAGCTCGCTTGGCACAGCTCAGATGTAATTAATGCTCTCTCACAGGAAAGCTCCACAACACTCCAAGCCCTAACACGGACATGATGTGACAGAGACCCATCCCAGGCATTCCCTGGAAAGTGGAACACGTCTGCTGCCTCTCACTGACACCCGGAAAGGAGGGACGCCGGCTCAGAGGGCAAGGGATGCAAAGCACCTAAGCAATGCCGAGGACAAGGATGGGGAGGGTTAACACATGTAACACAAACTACTAACTCTAAAAAACACAATTACCTTTGGAAGGACAGTGTTAAAACAAATATTACTTCTTAAGGGTGGCATGAAGGATGATTGCAGAATTGTATTAGTTCATCGCTTAATATTTCATATGTTTTTATTTTCTGAACATAATTGTTACTCCCCTTTTCCTCCCTGCTTTGACTACAAAATAAAACTGAAACCTTAATGCTGTTCCCAGAATCCTACCTCAGTTCTTAGATTTCGTAAGCATATCATCTATTTGCATATATAACAATAACTTTTTCACTTTAACATCAGCAACAAAATAGACCTGTGAAGCTGAATTACTGTGTTGGAAAAATCTTCCTTAGACACTATATAAGGAAATAATTTAAAGGAATAGCTTAAAGAAACCCAAAACCCTACAAAAACATACCTTAAAGAGATAACCATTCCTGATTTTGTTTTGTATACTTTCAAACTGAGACATATAGCCACACATAATTGCAAACCTGAGAGGGGAAAAGAAGAACACACACACATACTTTTTGTGATTTAAATAAACCTTTGAATCAAATGACAAAATATTTCAATACCTAATTCACAGATTAACACCTGTCTTTCTTCCATCTTGATGGCTGGATAGAACCTTGGCATGAGCTGTACATATTCAGGAGCACACAAAAAACCAAACCAAAACAAAACAGAACAACAATGGAAACAAGAAGTTGTTTAAATGACACTGGGCTGTCAGTGAAGTGGAAAAACAGGGATTTCTCCTCCAAAATTTCTACCATTCAGATCAGAGTGCAACACTTCCAGACTTGCTCCACCACTGACAGCAGTTTAACTGGACACACTGCACTCTGCATTGCAGTGCACTGGGAACATAAACACCATCAGCTGCGGTGCCTCACCCGGGAAGGCAAATCCTTGGGGTGTGCTCAGCAGAAAGGTGTGCAGACGTCAGAAATCGTTCAGTCGTCTTCTACCCTTCTCAAGCATCTTGGTGCAACCCTGCACCTCCAGCATTCTTTTAATATCTTTAAAATTATTTAAAAACATACACACACATTCTGCTCTAACAGGATCACTGCTGCTATTACTAGCTGCCTATTGCTATGATT